TTAGATTTTTCTTATAGGGCTTCTTGGAAATTGAACATTCTAGTAATGGCCATCTTCATATTGCAGGGTCAGAGAAACCAGTAGCTGATCAGTGTGAAAGGTGAAAGTCTCTAGGTAGGATGGTTCAATGGAGAAGCTGCAGTCTAAGACCTAGAAGGCATCTGGAGAGTTACTGGTATTTAGCCTATGCTGAAAGGCTGCAGAAGCTGGAGTTTTATGTCCACCTTCAATGGCAGGAGTAGTAGGCAGGCACCCTTGTTCAGAGGGGTGCTTGCAGGCACTGGTTATCTCCCCCACTTTTCTTGCTTTCCTTCCATATGATCACCTAGCTTATTGCTACTATGTTCAGGGAAGGTCCTTTTCTTCCTTTGCTGTCCCACATGTTAATGTCTCTGCAAACACAGATACATCCAGAACTGTGCTTTATCAATCCCATAGGCATATGTCAACATAATCAAGTAGACAATATTGATCATCACAAGCAACAAGCATGTAAGGTTTGAGATGCCTATTAAAGATGCAACGGAAGTTGCTGAGTAGTTGCTAGATGTGAGAGCTTCTCTTTGTAGGGAGAAGTCCAAGGGGCAGATGCAGATACAGGATTCACCAGCATGTAGATGAAGCTTCTTAAACAGGTGCACTTAGTGAAGTGCCAAGTTCAGAAGCAATGCCCAGGAGTATGTTAGTTACTTTTGCAATTTGTGCTCAAAATACTTGAGAACAACTTCAGGCAGGAAGGATGTATCTGGGTTCATGGTTTTAAGAGATTCTGTCCATGGTTTCTTGGTCCCGTGTGGGTGGGCAGAACAGTCCACACATGGTGAGAACATGGGGCAAAAGAAGTCAGGAAGCAAAGAGAAAGGACGGGACTGGGGACCAAGTATAAGATGAAAAGTCCTGCCCCCAGTGATCACCTTCCTCCAGGGGGTTTCTGCCACTTGCGCAAATAATGCCACCATCTGGCAAGCACATCTTTGACACAGGGTTTCATCAGAAACACTTCATATTCGAAGCATGACTATGATTGAACCAAGCCACGTGTGCTAGATAGCTTTAGTGTCAACTTGACACACCTGGGTTGAGGGAGCCTCAATTGGGGAATTTCCTCTATTGGACTGGCCTGTGACCCTGTCTAAGGGGCATCTTCTTGATGGTTGAGTGATGTGGGAGGGCCCAGCCCACTGTGGGTGGTTCCACCTGTGGGCAGGTAGGCCTGTGTTGCATAAGAAAGCAAGCTGAGCAAGGGGACAGGGGACCAAGTCAGTAAGCAGTGATCCTCCATGGCCTGTGCTCTAGTTCCTGCTTCCAGGTTCCCGCCCTGAGTTCCTATCTTGGGCTCCCCGATGAACTGTGACCCAGGAGATGTAAGCTGAATAAACCTTTTGTTCCCCAAGTTGGTAGTGGTCAGAGTCTTTTGTCACAGCAATGGAGAAACAAACTAGGACAGAAGTTGGTACCAGGAGTGGGGTATGGCTGTGAGAGACCTGACCCTGGTGTTTTTAGGAGGATTGTGGAAGAATTTAGAACTTTGGGCTGGAGAAGCTATTGAGTGCTTAGAGTTTGTTGCTGTGGAGCTTGGAACAGTTATGTTGAAAGAGTTGTGAACAATGGAGGCCTGGCTTGTGAAGCGTCAAAGGGAAGCAGAGACTATCAGGGCTGTTTGTGTGATATTTTGAATTGAGAATCTGTGGGTTCTGGTTGGCTGGGGCTGAAGAATCAGCTGTGATTAAGAAAAGACCAGAGCCTGAAGCAAAACCTTTGCTTTACTGGGACAATTGATGCTGGTTAGCTGGGGCTGAAAAATTAGCTGTAAGTAACAAGAGACCAGCATCACTGAGGTGAAGTCTTCTGAGACTTCTGAGAGGGGACCCGTGTCTCTATCTCAAGCTGAAAGCAGGACTTGGTAATGTGTAAAGTCTCCTGCTTGGTTCTGGTGTTGAAAGTGTGAAGGGGTCACAGAGAGTGGCTGAGGCTTGGCATTCTGAGAGGCCAGGAAAGGCCATAGGAGAAAGTGCAGCTTCAGTTGCAGTAAAGACCCCAGGATTGAAGGGGTCATGGAGAGAATCTGAGGCTTTGCACCCCGAGAGGCAAGAAGAGACCATTGGTGAAGGTGTAGCCTCAGTTTCCGTGGAGACCCCAGCTTTTTGGAGATGCCAAGATCATGGGACAACCACCAAGGCCAGCAGTAGGTATGGAATGGAGCTGGCCTGGGTCTTCGAGATGAGCTGTGTGTACTGTGGAGCTGCCAGAACCCTTTGGAGCCAGAAGATCATGAGTGAATCCCAGATGTCCAGCCTTGAGCTACTTTGCTGGACTTTGATTTTGCTTAGGTGTGCCTGATTCTTCCCTTTGAAATAAGACAGTATTTGGATTTTTTTTTTTTTTTTTTTTGTTGGTCTTTTTGAGACAGGGTCTCCCTGTAGCCCCAGCTGTCCTGGAACTCACTATGTAGACCAGGCTGGCCTTGAACTCACAGAGATCCACCTGCCTCTGCCTCCTGAGTGCTGGGATTAAAGGCATGCACCACCTCTCTCAGCTTGTTTTGGATTTTACAGAAGCCCACCCACAGTTAAGAAACTTTTTGAAGAGACTATGGACTTTTAGGTGTTTGGATTTTTTAAGGACTGTGGGGTTTTTAAGGTTGTACTGTCTTATGTTGTGGTATTAATGTTAACATCATATGTTGGGGACAAGAATTGGAAAAGTTATAGTTTAATAGTGATGTGTTTGTGTATCAAGTTGACAAGGGGTCAATTGTGATGGATAGCTTTAGTGTCAACTTGACACACCTGGGTTCAGGGAGCCTCAATTGGGGAATTTCCTCTATTGGACTTGCCTGTGGCCCTGTCTGAGGAGCATCTTCTTGATGATTGAGTGATGTGGGAGGGCCCAGCCCATTGTGGGTGGTTCCACCTGTGGGCAGGTAGGCCTGTGTTGCATAAGAAAGCAGGCTGAGCAGGGGCCAGAGGAGCAAGCCAGTAAGCAGTGATCCTCCATGGCCTGTGCTTCAGCTCCTGCCTCCAGGTTCCTGCCCGGAATTCCTACCTTGGGCTCCCTGATGAACTGCTACCTGGGAGATGTAAGCTGAATAAACCCTTTCCTGCCCAAGTTGGTAGTGGTCACAGTGTTTTGTCACAGCAATGGAGAAACAAACTAGGACACCATGGGAAGGCATAAGGTGGAGTAGTCAACAGTTGGAAGCTGGACTTTGTTAATTTTGCATAAAGACTGCGGCCACTTCTCAGGTTCAGCTGATTTCTGCCAAGTCACAGGTATAGTCTGGACAATGGCATCAAAACTCCCCAAAAGCATATTTTCAGTCCCCCAACTATATTTTCAAGTCACTCACTGGTGATTTTTGCCATTCAAACTGGAATCTGAAAGCTTGGAGTTTATTCTTCTGCCCTATATGGAAAATGGTCATGTTCTGCTCTGCTCACAGTACCTAGACATTAATGTTGGATTCTCCTTTAATTCATAATCTAGACCCCGCCTTCCAAAGACCAGTGGTGTGTTGGAAATGACTACTCCTGGCTCATAGGAGCCAATTTTAGATTTTTAAGAATTTTGCAAGCTATATCATCAATAGTCATTTTAAAAATCAAATCATATAAACTTATATTTTAAATATTAAAAACAACATACTGAACACTCAAAATTCATTATTTACTAATAGTTTTACTCCATTTTATTATTATATATAATCCTGAAGTTTGTTTTCATCAATTTATATCTGTATTCTGGAAATACTGTACAATGAGATTTTTCTTCCAAACCCTCTTCCAGAAACTTCATGTTGATTGCTTAAAGTAGCCATGTAGGAGGGTTTATACCATAGAAATTGTCAAATAATACAAATGAGCCTATTTTCCTTGGAAATCCAGTTTCAAATTTTGACCAACATAGCACTGAGTAAATGTCACCCTCAGAACTGTGCCACAGCTGCCTTATGGAAACTGAAAATGCAATGGCGGTGTGTGTAAGAGCTCAGCCTCACTATGCCCCACTGTCTGATGGAATATTGGCTTGATGATGATTTTCAAATGTCTGAGAAGTTTCCACATGACAACTCAGAGATGACTTTGAAGTGGCCATGTGTACAATCTGTACTTCTTATTCTTTCATTAGCAGTGACAAGGATTGGTATAATATGTCTTAGATGGTTAAAGGAGCTCTGTCCCAGGGAGTTCCCTGGAAAACAGCTGGACATTTTGAGTACAGAAACTGACTTCTACTCTGTGATAAATCGTAATATAAATATGTAATTGAGGGGGCTGGAGAGATGGCTGAGGGATTAAGAACACTTGCTGCTCTTCCAGAGGACCCAGGATCAGTTCCAAGAACCCATTTCAATGACTCACATCTGCCTGTAACTCCAGTTCCCAGGGGATCCATCACCCACTTCTGGCCTCTGTGGACATCCACACACATGTGCTCATATACACACATAGAAACACAAACATACACATAAATGAACATAATAAATAAATCTAAAAATAAGCAATTGAAAAGAATACACATTTTTTTCTTAGTGTTCAAAGAGCATGCAAAAAAAAAGTAATGTATAATTAGCACAGTGGAGAAGCAATTCTTAGGCACACACACACATACTCATACTCACGTGTGTGTGTGTGTGTGTGTGTGTGTGTGTAAATATACATTGCATTAAATAAAATCCTGTGCCTTTGTAGTAAATAAGCTCTCAACATGAACAGTTCAGGTTGGGTATAAAAAGCTCTCATGTAGGTAAAACCAAATGAGGCTCACTTCCCCTTCTAAGTTTCCTGAAGCTAACCTTTTTCCTTCCTTTTTACAAGCCCTCCCCACAAATAGAGCTGGTTAAAAGTATCTGTTACAATGACCCAGGTTTTACCATTCATGGCAAATCTCTCTAAATTATAGGCTTTTCCTCATGGAGACCATTTACAGTGGGGCGTAATGCAAGGCTGTGTTCAACCATGCCACTCTTTGAACTAGCTCTACCATGTTATTACCACACTAAAGTGGAGGGGCCAGTTTTTCTATAAATAAATCTCCTCCTCACTGAGTAGATGAAATCCTTAGTGGCAGTTCCTGCATTATTGATTTTCTGGTTTCTAGCTTCTCTGCTGGGAGTGACTTCTGAGCTGTTTTGAAAAGAGAAGTCATGTAAACACTTGACTGTTGCCAGACTCGAGAAAAATCCGATTAGCAGGAAATCGGTAACATTATTTCTCAGCTATGCTCCCTGCAATTCTTCAGTCTCTGGGCCAGGTGTGTGGATGGGGGTGAGAAGCTTTCAGAAAGATTGTGTGTTCTTCCTGAAGTCCACTTGTTTCTTTGCAAGAGTCCTTTAATTTTTGTGCACTGGAAATGGAGCTAATAATGACAGTCTGAACAGAGTTGGCCTCCTCTGTGAAAGAGAACAAAAAGGGATTATCAGCTTTGACAAAGGTCCTTACGAGTTTAACCAATGGCTATGGGAGAGTCCCCATCACTCACAGGAAATAAAAGTCCAAGGAACTCATCAGGAGGCAGAAAGATCTCCACACAGCATCACAAGTCCACACACGCATTGTTACCTTCAAGGCAGTGGCTTTGTTGTTGCCATTCTGTCTTCTTTCTTTTCTATAAAATGTTTTAAGTAGATGTGTTCATGGTGTTGTGAAGTAAGGTGTCTTATAAAGGTCTCAGATGACATCTGACTACCCTTACAGCCATCTGTTTAGTTCCTATAACTACCTAGCCACCAGTTCAACTTCCTGGCCAGGAGCACTTGGTTAGACTTTTCTTAGAGGCAAATCCTGTGTGATTGCAGCTGAGCTCTCATTTTGTGTCTCCATGCTGATACCGATATATGATGAACTGGGTCTCACATACACCTCAGTTCCAGGAACTAAATTCTCAACCTCCTCACTTTTGCCTTGAATATGTTACCCAAAATCGGACTTCCCTTGGTTGAATTTCTAACACCCACTGCTCTTACTAGGAGCTGCCTTCCTGACAGCAGCCTGTGTTCCCTGATGATCAGTCCATCTGACATGTCCCAGCTATTCGCCTTCAACCATTATTGCTACTGGCTAGACATTTGAACCCCAAGAGCACTTTAAACAAATACACAAGTAATATAAAGGGGAAAGGGAGACAATGAAGAGGGAAATTTAGGTGGGGAGAGAAGGGGAATAATCATCACTAGGGCTGTTTGAAAAAGCCATGTGGAAGCCTACTATTTTGTAATATATATATAAATAATAGTCATACAAACAAATTTAAGTGGAGTTCCGCTACACAGGGGATAATGCTCCTCCCAAAGGCTTTTCCAAATGAAAAGCCCAGTGCCAGTTTGTGAGATATCTCCCATTGAGCTATTGGTCAGGTATGTCCAAGAGAACCTGAAAACAGTACAGGCTATTGTCACTATGCTTGGCTGCCCACTAGAACTTGATGGTAAGACCCTATTGCTGAAGACACCACATACTTTGGTTACAGAACATGAAAACATCAGGTTGCTACTGACCAGGAAGCTTCTCCTCTGCTAGCTAGCTTTCATAGCACCAGAAAGAGCTATGCAGGCCCCTGGGGAAAAAATCATCAACAGTCTTACCCAGCTGTGAACTCTGTGGATTACTATAGTGACTGATGTAGCAAGAGACACCCATGGGTGCAATAGGAACATGAATATTACTCACTTTCTGATTATATTTAAGGCCTGTTCCATAGGAGGAAATGCCTGCCTGGCACTATAAATGTAGCCAAGAACTCATGGTTGCAGAGCTCACATACTCCAGGGTAAACCTACTGTTGTTATTTTGCTAAATGGTCATATTATGAAACTGTCTTCTAAATTCATGTCTTTCTGCCCACAGATTAGTGGAGCTCTCAGTCCTTGTGTAGTAAATGGTGATTAATGAAGAAACTCACAACTGATAGAAGTCCTCAGCTACAAATGAAGCATCCATACCACCCACTCCCAAGGCTCAGTGATCATCACGGAACTGGGGGAAAGAGTTTAAGGTCCAGAGGTCAGGGAGGACTAGAGCAAAACTGTCACCTGGACATGGCAAAATGTCTGCACTCAGGAATTCACAGTCACTGTGGTTGCCTGTACAAGACCTGCTGCACAAGGTCAATCTACTCAATATTCTAGCACCAAGAGGAGAGGAGATAATGAACCCACCCCCAGATGAGGAGCTCTTTACTGTTGATGGACTCTGGGAGAGGGAGAGTAAGTTTTCTTCAAGGCTGTGAACCCTGGTAAGTGGAACACACTTCAGTGGATGCTCTTACACCTATGAGCATATGGGCAGAACAAACTGGATTCAGTGGGTTATTAAAATAGAAGATCAGGAAATTGAGAAGTGGTAGGAAGGTGGGAGTGGGTCTGGGACAAGTTAGAGGAGAAGTGGGGGCTGAATATGATCAAAGTAGATTGTATGAAATTCTCAATAAATTACTAAAATATTATATTAAAAAATAAATATTTTTTCTGAACCTAGTCCTTAGGAATTCAGATTTAGTTGGATTTATATGACATTCACAATTTTTCATTTAAAGTACATAATATAGGCTGGATTTCCCCCCTAAAATTTATATGTTGAAGTCTGTTATTGTCTAGATTTGAGGTGTCCTTCCACGGGGCAGGGGGAGGGGACTGGACTCAGGTGCGGAAGGCTTGATCCACAGATGGTAGGGATCCCTAAGAGGTGTTGGATGATACGGTATCAGATCTAAGTAATGGATCAATCCACCCATGGGTTTGTAATCGATGGCATTATTGGGAAGGGGTTGAAATAGGAACTGAGGCCTGTTTGACCACTCGAGTCATGCCTTTGAAGGGTAAATCTTGTCCCCAGTCCCTTTTGTCTGTCTTTTTCTGTCTCCTGTCCACCAAGAGCTGAGCCTCATTGCTTCTCCACGTGCTCCCTGCCATGATGTTCTGCCTCACCACACTCCGGCCCAAAAGCAATGGAGTCAAGTGACCACGGACTGAAACCCCCAAATCCATGAACCAACATCATTCTTTGTTCCCTTAAGTTTCTTTCTTCCCCAGGTATTTTGTCATAGAAAAATGAAACAAAACAGAAAACTAACACAAGTCCTGTCCCACTGTCTTTCAAAATGTACATTTGGAGTTAACAATTTTGAATATGTAAATAAAATAAGGTCATTCAAGTGATCCCTTAGTCAACATAAACAGAGTTCATATAGGAGAAAAATAAGACATAAGGGCAGATACACAGAAGAAAACACATGTGCAGACACAGGGTGGAAACAGCAATTTCTAAGCCAGGAGCAAAAGCTTCGGGAGAGATCAGAGCTGCCTGGATCTCTAGAACTATGAGACCATAGCTTTTGTTTAAGCTGCCCAATCCGTGGCAGTGTGTGGCAGCCCAGGCAAACTCTGTAGTCCTCCTTTAGATTCAGCAGCAGCAGGACTGGAGACTACAAATTCAGAAGGCCTCGGATTTCAGCATCTCTATCACGTCTCAGATTGCTCAGGTTTTGCCTGAGGATTTGCATTTCTATGAAGTTGCTGGGTGACAGAGGTGTAGCGGATATGGGACCAGGACTAATTTATCATATGTTGAGCCACCTTTGGGTCTCCAGTTTCTGTTCTCAACTCCCAACTACTTCACAGAACTACTCTAATGTTCAGGGACCCCCAGTTCTAGCTCTCCGCACAAGCTACTCTGAATTCATACATTTTCAGATAAAGTTGAAAATTTCAGAAAGAACAATGTCAGGAAGAGTTAAAATCTCAGTAAGACTATGTATGTATTTGTGAACTTATGTATCTCTCAACCAACAGTTTGAGGCAACTCCTAAATCGTAGAGAACTGGATCATTTCACATCTGGAGATATGAATAAATGTTTCAATTTTAGTACATTAAATATTAAGTGTATTCTGTACGTTTAAGAGAGATCCCTATTTATCATGTATTAAAAGTAGGTTTTTATCTCTCTCAATCCATTATTATTTGTTCTGAAGAAACAATACTAGTGAAATTTCACATTGGCAAGAGCACCTTGCAGTTTGCCAAGAAGATGCAGTGACAACCTTCACAGCCCTACACATATGCTTTCCTCCCTGAGACAGATCACACTGGTACCTTAAAACCACTGCCTGTGCTGGACAGCATCAGTGGTCTTCTGCCTGTCTCTGGATTGGCTGCTGCTTGAGAACTTCACTGCGGAACATCCCTGCCACTTACTTAAAGTGGTGTTTAAGTTTAAATGGATCAACTTCCCTTCTTATCACCGCAAAGATAAAGAAAGGCTTGTTTTGTCAAATCTAGCCTTGTCTATAATTTTATGTCAGTCTTCTTCATGTTCCCAATGGATAAAAAATATATGAGACATGAATTAAATATTAAATAGATGACTGCTGAATCAACCAGCAAACAACAGGCCCAGCACTGCCACCAGCTCCACAAGAGGCAGGGAAACCAAGTGAGTGCACGCACACTGAGGGCAAGGATCCTCTCCGCATCAGGATTCCTGCTTGACTAGTCCATCTGACGCGGCTTTCCAGTTTTGACAGCTCACCTGTTCTAATTTGGTTTCTGTTGCTGTGTTAAACACCATGACCAGAAGCTGGTTGGGAAGGAAAGGGTTCATTTCATCTTACAGGTTACAGTCCATCCTGAGTGAACTCCAAGGCAGCAGCTTAAAGCAGAAACCATGGAGGCATGCTGCTTACTAGTCGGCTTATGTACTAGCTCACACTTAGCTACCTTTCTTATATAATCCAGTCCCAATTTCCCAATGATGGCACTGCCCACAGTGGTCTGGGCCCTCCTACATCAACTAGCAATCAAGAAATGCCCACAGACATTCCCCCAGCCCAAACCCAGGGAGGAAGTTTCTCAACTGAGAATCCTTCTTCACAGGTATGTGAAGTTGATAATCAAGATTAGCTTCCCATTGTCTCTCCAGATGTCACTGACCCCATGTTGATTTTATCTTTTAGCACTTGTTTTCTGGCATCTTGCCAGTAAACTGTTAAGACTGTGAGTCTACTAGTTGGAATCCACCAGAATTCATAGTAAACTTTATTTGCTTTTCCTTTATTCCCATCCTCTATATGAAGGTCTTGACCATTTGATCTACCGAAAACAGATTAGAAGGACCTAAACTTCCTTACAGGTATTTGATTGCTGGGTAAGTGTTGCTGCATTAAGTTCATTGAAGCAGAATGTTGATTTCACGTTAGATCCTCTTTGTAAGCACCCTAAATGTGTATTCCTTAAGAGACCAAAGCAGTTAAGAGCAAGCAGTTTGGCTGCCTGAACGGCAGGCTTATCCAACAACCCGACAGGTGGAATCTACCCAGAACAACCAGGCAGCTGCCCCAGGTGAGGCAGGGGCTGGAAGCTAGATTGGGAAATGCTATTGTTATCTCCACACCTCTGAGTCCTATGAGACTGTTAAGAAACATTGTTGCCACTCCAGAAGCTCCACTGGGGCATCAGCAACTGTAAATTCTGTGGCATCTCTTCAAAGGAAATGGTAGAGCTGTTAGTCAATCGGCCACTTCTTGGGTGATACCTACAGCTGTCCTAACTGTTTAATCATTTTGTAGTTGCTCAGAGGGGTTTGGATGCCCAGTGGAGACTTCATTACAACAAGGGAGCCTGTCATAGCCACCTGATCACAACTGCAACTACAACTCTTACTCCCAGAGACTTTGTTTCTGTCACTGCTGCTCCAGATACCCTGAGATGGCTCCAAGATACTTCATGTTGGAGATCAACTTCAAATTACTCTTAAGGAATACACATTTAGGGTGCTTACAAAGAGAATCTAACATGAAATAAACACTCCACTTCAGTGAACTTAACGCAGCAACACTTAAACCAGCAAGCAAATACCCGTAGGGAGGGTTAGGTCCTCAGATGGCCCAAGCCAAACTGTTCCAGATGTCCCCACCAAAGTCTTCAATCAGTTCAGGGAGGAGCTGATTCAAGGTAGATCTAATAGGCAGGCTCAGTACACAGGCACAGACTGTGTATCTAAACAAAATGTGATTAGCAAGCAGGATGTTACGTGTACACACCGATGTCTATAAAAGTGGCCCTTTCCTCACTTTGGTCAATACAGAACACAATGCACAACCTCACACTACCACACTAGGCCCCCTCCTGAGCTTCATCTAAATTAATGTTTATTTGTAACCTTTATCAAGGGTCGAGTAGGCTGAGCTGGTAACATAAACAACAAACAACTCTTCGGCTGGTAACTCCAGATACAAGTAGCAGAGCTAGAAGGTACAGATGAAGAGCGCCACAAAGTTACTGGGAACAGACTCAAGCACAGCTAAGACTGAGCGCCTGAGGAAAGGGAAGGGCTGTGAGGAGCTGACTGACATTACTCTCTGTGCTTTGCTTTTTCCAAACCCGGCAGTTAAAAGAATCAAATCTTTTCTTAGCATATCATTGACCGAGCTACACCTTTCTTCTACAAATGGAATTTTTTGGGACAGGGAATGGTGGACTTCATGTGTGTGCCTGCATGTGGAGGCCAGAAGTCAGCCTGGAGTGTTGTTTCTCAGGAGTCGTCCACCTTGTTTATTGGAACAGGGTCTCTCACTGACTGGGCTTTGGCCCTGGGATTAGAAGCTTGCCACAAAGCCTGGCCTGGATTTGCAAATGGAAATTGTTTTTAGCATCTTTATTTTTTCTTTCTCTTCCAGCAGCAGCTTCTGAAAGAGAAGTGGCGAATCCTGTGTCCTTTGTATATTAATGGGATGTTTTCTCACAATAAGTTGCCCCTAGCTAGACTGAACTTTACTAATGCTTCTCAAAAATAACTAAGATACTGTGTTTTAATCCTAGAATTCATGATTTAGTGCTGATAATAAAGCTCGATAGTATAGCATCTGCTCAGCTGCACAAGGCTCTGGGCCTGAGCCCCAACACAAATACCATAAGAAAAAAATAGGAAAGAAAGTAAATAAATATGTGAAATATATTTAAATGAAGGATATATAGGCATATAAACTGAACTAAATATTTATTTACAAATAAAACTAAAATTTATTTACAAATAAAATGAATTTGACTGCACAAATTCATCCATTTTTTCTTATAGAAAACATAGCCATAATTTACTCTCGAAAGTAAAAGTCTACGTTCATTTTAGAGTGTTTTTATAAATACAGACAACGTTTGAGGAACTAACTTGTCTCAGATCCCAGAAGTCAGCAAAATAATGTTTGTTTATTTTAAAAAGCTGAGTGTACTAGACTTCTGAA